AAAAACCGAGGTCCCGCGTATACATTGGAATGCACGTAAAAGATCCCTTGGCAGTTGGAATTCGATATAAAAGTAGGCGATAGTGCCGCTGCCCGGGCAAAATTTCCCTCATAGCACACTGTATGGCGTGTTTCCGTCTTCATTAGCCCAGTATAGGAGCAGAACAGTAGGACGTTAAACCCCATTTCATTTCCAAACTTTTCACATCTGCCGAAGCAAACCCGAACTGGAATATTGTTATTATACTCTAACTGATTGGTCAAAAGCAAAAACCTGATCCGATTGGTCGGATCAGATTTGGAATTCGGAATTTGGAATTAAGCATTTGGAATTTGGAATCTGGAATCTGGAATTTGGAATCTGGAATTTGGAATCTGGAATTTGGAATTTGGAATCTAGTAATTTGGAACGGGTATTTATCCGGCCCAGATAGGTAAACTAGAAGTAATTAGTTGTGTAAAATTAGAATTTATATAAATTCTAATTTGTTTAATTGAGGGGGGCTGCTAATTTGCTATTTTATCGGTAAGACATGAATTTGGAATTTGGAATTTCGCATTTGGAATTTGGAATTTCGCATTTGGAATTTGGAATGAGCCTTCTGGGCTTTCGTACAAATAGTTTAAATCTATGGTATATCACTATCAGGGTTGTGGACCCTCTAGAGGGCACAATTTTGATCCGATTTTGAAGAAACTTAAAATACATGTTTTTAACTGATTTTACGAAAAATCGCGTTTTTAACTTGTGGTCCCTCTAGAGGTCACAATTTTTTATCCGATTTAAGAAAACGTTTGAATGTATCACCGTTGCACCAATGATGATGGTTGAGTTCGAATTTCGTGAAAATCGGACCAAAACTGTCGGACAAAGTGGCCACCCCTCGTACGCAAATAGTGTAAATTTCAAGGTTGTAGACCCTCTAGAAGTCACAATGTTGATCCGATTTTGATGAAACTTGAAATATATCCTTATAGCCCAAAGATCTTGGTTCCTGTCAATATTCGCGCATATCGGCTTGTAACTTCCCGAATTATGGCCCCTGATTATACGAAAACTCGCTTTTTGTTTAGCTTGTTGTCTATCCATCTATTGCAAAATGTGGGCGTATCTTGTGTGAGTATGCATATGGCACATATTTCCCTAATAGAAACAAAAAACCCGTTTCAGATATTTTACCAAGCTTATTGAAAACCAAAATTCAAATTAGCGAACTTTTTTTTTAAATTCATGGAAAGAATGTTAACATACCATGAATATTTGAGTACGTTATTACAAGACAAGGCAAATCACTTGCTGTAGCTGTCGAAATAGAAAATTCAATTGAAGAATTATGCAAAACCTAATCAAAGAGTGGTAACATGCGTTCCATACAAGGTAAACGTGAGTACATGTACTTAAACGACAAAATGTACACGGAGAGATCTTTTTTCTCGGCCCATTCGAACTAGGCAATGTTCCTTGTCAGGCTCTCGGTCCAATGGAAAATCCTGGGGAACATTTTTGACAACACCGGGATCGATCCCCGGATCAACTGGTCAATTAGCCAAAGTCCTATTCACTGTGATTCGCGTAACCAAGTCAAAAGTGTGCATTTTGAGGATGGAAATTGAACGATTTGTGGTGACACCGTTTGTCTGGGTGGAAATTGAACAATTTCTTATGACACTGTTTGTCTGGAGACTTCGTCTTTCTATCAATTCGATATAAAACCGCACCGACATCACTATTTACGCAAAACTGAGCACACAGAAAACGGCTTATATAAAATATTCTTGAAATGTGAAACTGTGCAACAATTTTGACAGCACTGTAACTAAATGCTTCACTTCGTCGGCGTTTTTAGGCAATACATTTACTTACTTAATCGCTCTATTGTTATTGCGAGCAAAATATTGTAACTTGATTATGGCGCATTTAAGTACATCGTGTAGGTGAAATCATATCTTATTTTAAACTAATATTGTTCCGTGATAAATTTAGTAACAATTAATAGTATCGATAACGCAACCGAAAGACATAAAAAGAAATTATTAAGGACTACCTGACTCATGAGACATCAGTAGTTTCCAAATAATTTTATTATAGGGAGCAGGATATATTAAATGTGTAAAAGGGGATGAGGCTATTCATATCTTTATCTTGTTTATCGCTTGTAGAACGATATCATACCGTGTTTGAATAATGACGTGTAATCATATCCTTGAGACCAAACAATTATCTATATACCGGAAGTAAAATCTGTTCGCGCACATTTATAGTGACGTAAAACAAACAAACCAATGGCATTTTGGATGTATATCTTTTCTAATTATAATGACATGTATATATAGAAATATATATTTTACATCCGAAACAAAATCAATAATTCCTCCATTGTGGACACTACTTGTGTTTGAAATAGAAATATGAAACTGAATTGAAGATGATCTGCAAAGTAAGACATTTTCTTTACTTTTGACAATTCTTAATAATTCTAATATGTTTTGTTTTAGCACCCATCAATAACAAATTCCATTTCACACACATCTGAACGAATATCGATGGCGATGCGAAGAAATTATCAAGATGTTATTTTAGAACTAGTTACACTTTACAGCAGTAATTTATTAGAATATAAAAAGTAATTTATAAACAACTACAAATTTTCGTTATATACTCAAATTAAGTTTTTTTCTGTTTTGTTCATAAATCGCATGTTATTTCTTTATAAATCATTTGTTTCTAAACTCATATTTTTGAAATTCATTAATCATTAAGTTAATTTTTTTTTTTACCAAAAATAAGACATTTATTGTATTATTTTAAAGTACATAGCGGATTTAATTTTATAATCATTTCCTAGTCAATGATTCTGCTGAAGTAACTTTTAATTTGCTATTTTTTTAAACTCCCGTACTAGTTCATGCTTATGTGGCGTTCATTCTGTTATGTGACAACAAGAAATGTGTAATATCAGTTTGAGTATAAAGAAGTGTAAGAGCACTAGTCGCTATCTAGTAAAATTTGTTAATTGGCTAAATATTGCGATGAACTCAGTCCTGTAGTCAACCATTTATATCTTAAATTAAACTTTAAAATTGTAAGATGTCTGTATGAATTAAAACACCCAAGATGTATTATTATTCGTAGTTTTTTTTTTTAGCACATTTTTCGACCATTAAACGACATACATTAAAAATGCAATCTTATAGACGTTGCTCAAGGTTGTCTTATATTTTTTATATAAGAAAAATATTATTTAATGGAAAGGATGGGGATATAGAATAGATAACTTTTTCACCATAATGTGACTAATATACAATTTATAGAAGTATATTTTGTTATGCATCGTTGAAACCATAACCTATCAAGATGAAAAACGCTTAGAAACAATAATTCTTAAAATTCCCTTGCTCGAAAGAGCATGAACAGTAATGATATTCCCCATTCACGCATAATTTGATATTAAATAGCACGACATACAGCGAAACAATGCCCGGAACATACTTTCGCTCGATTAAAGCTGTCGGGCTAAAGAAGTGGTGGGAAAGCGATCTTACATTGGTCAGTGGTGATAAAATAACTACTAAGCCAAGGATGACCATTGATAGTTAAGGCGATTATGACATTCGTTTAATTTTGCATGTCTCATTAGATATAACCTTTTTTTTGTATAAACAACAAAGCAACAACAAAAACAGAGGTTAAGAAGTTACCCTCAAATTAACCCTTACACTGACGTCAACAGTTAAGACAATCTTTCAGACACTTGTTTTTGTTCCGCTTTTGGACAAAACAAACCTGTGAAAAAATGATTGCTAACTCTCTAGTTGGCGATATAATGGCTTTAAACAAAATGTTAAATTTACCGCTGAACAATTTTGGGAAGAAAATAAGTCATCTTTTGAGGGAAAGTTTTGTGAAAGTCGAATCATCAAATGGAATATCAGCAACATGGCCCTTTTCTGCTGAGTATAATTAACAGCCAGGTGAAATCTTATGATTTAATCCGTTTTAATCCAAGCCGTGAGATTATCTAGCGTTAAAATTCTGGTTAGGGTATTTTTAAATAAATGTTACATAATCAATTTCAATACACTTTAGCATAGATTAAGTCTTTTAAAATTAGCCATTGTCCTAAAAATTCACGATCATAATTAATTTGTTATGAGTTATTGGATAATTGACTGTATTTAAAGGCATAATCTGAGTTGAGATTACTCGACTCCAATGTTTAATTAACCTGGACACGGTATCCTAGTGAAGTAATTGTTTTGTGTATTTTGTTTATTGCACATCTTTATAAATATACTTATCTATATGATCGTGTATCAGACCCTATTTCCATACTCGGGAAAACAGAACAGTCGGGCAATTCAACAAAATTATACCACGCAGTAATAGCAGATTTTAGTTTTACCGACTGCCAAGCAAGCAAAAGTTATCCGATACCTCGTGTCATTGACCCTTGTAAAGGACAACAGAGATAAAATACTGAAATCAAATCTTTTATACGTTTACAAAAGCAACGGTAACGAACAAAGAATTTCGGTACATAAATCACTGGGACCCTATGTAGACGTGCCCAAATGAAAATGATATTATTTGAAGCATAACATGATGTGACAGTCCACCAGATTTTATTAGAATGCTACACACTTAGCAGAACTTTCAAATGTGTCGTTTAAAATAAAACGAGTTGTTTCGATTGTTAACTATTTTAAATGGTGTCAAAGCTGGGCTGAGAACATATGGAGCTGGCTGATTCTTTATGAAAGACAGTCCGCAAGCCTTTATACACTATTTCTCGAGTTCTGGTTTATCTGTAAGGTTTGATTATTTTACATGATGGAAACACGCCTTTTTAAAGCGAAAAACCTAAAGTTATTCTAGTTACGATGATGTAGAATTTGTTTATACGAACCATTCACTTTAAGTTTGTAAACATGTATGCACTGATGTTCACTTGTAAAAGAGTTTAACATATTTCTTATCGTAATATCATACCATAAACATTTGGTGCATAAACTCATTTATTTATTTGGAACTCAGAGTATTAAGATAACTAGACGCATAATTAGAATTCCACAAAGAGTTTCTTTGATACGGCATTATATGCACGTAGACGAAAGAGTATCTTTTTTCTTGATACTTGCAGTGAATAGAACGGATTTGCTCATCGGAAATATCCAACAGTTGTCGTTTATCTAGTACATGAAAGTTATTACGCTATTTTGTGAATCCTTTCTTATCACACTCATCCAGTTTTCGTTTTTTCATATTCATCGTTTTATTCTCAGCAATTTTGTTTTTCAGTATTAGAAGAAAGCAGACAGTACCATGAAACTACCAGACGGCATGGAGAACGAGTGTAATAGTACCACTGAGAATCAGGATATACCGTTAAAGATAAATACGAGCGAAGGGGAGCAAACTCAAAATAGTAAAACGGACAATGTTAGAAACTCAGATCAGAATGGTCTCTCGCAAAATGACCCTGAATCATGCCAAAAATCCAATTTGAGGGATTCTGTGATAAGCGAGGGGGAGCAAACTCAAATTAGTAAAACAGACTCTTCAATCGACAATGTCATAAACTCAGATCACAGTGGTCTCTCGAGCAATGACCCTGAATCCAACCAAATATCCAATTTGATGGATTCGGTGATAAGCAATAACCTTAATCCGAACTCAAACTCAGTCGACAGTTCTTCGGAAGCTCCACTTAGTTTACAAACTCCCAAAAAGGAAAGCGTTAAAAGAAAAATAACTTGGGTTGATTCAGATGCAAGCTGTAATAGTCTGGAGCCTCATTCACCAACTCTTGAAAGTGTACCGGAAATAGTTCTGGAAATGAATATAGAGGAACCAGAAGATACCAAAAAGAAGCTTCAGCCAAAAGAAATTATGAAGATGGATGAAATAACAGAAATGTCGTCTCCCAAAACGAAAGAAAAAAATCAGCCAAACGGAAATGAACGTAAATTGAATGGAGATGCAATTAGATGTAGTACGGCTAACCAAGATTCACAGTAAGTGTAAATTTTATTTCTTACATCTTACATTATGTTTTACATGCGGAAGAAACCCCAACAGATTTCCAACGCTACTTCTAAGTGAACTCGCCTAAAACTTTTTGTAAACGTAGGGAAAGTCAGCATCATCCACGAAATTCTTAACATAATGTTTTCTAGAGCTGCCTGTGAGGAAGTGAACTCCCCCAAAAAGGATTTTGTTGTAAACGCAGCAATAAAGGTGTCCAATTCACGAAACACGTAACTATAGCTATAATTACTGATGGTCTGTTACATCTACCCCGGTCTTAAGCAATGAAACATAATGTAATGTTTAAACATACATTTACTTGATGACCCTTTAACTTTATGATTACCCGAATAAAAATCAAATAAGCCGCCTGCAAGAGCTCATATTTTTACTAAATTTTCTTACGGTTGATTAAGCCTGAGGAAACAATGTTGATGCCTTTACCGTAAAGTAGCCGTGGTAGGCTTACTGTACTTTTCCCAGATCCCTTTTAACCATACAATTAATATAAGATTGAATCTTGTTTTCACCATTTCTTATTTACATAAAAATGACAATGCAATTTTTGAAGATACTATCTTTACTATGAAATAATAATACCCATTAAAATAATTTGCTAGCTGATAAAATAAACTGGCCGAACCCATCAGGAAATGTTTGAGAATCGAACTGTCACCATCGTTACAATATCCGGATTTAACGTTTTCTTTGTTCTTGAAAAAGTCTAGATGAGTAGATAAGAATAGGACATAAGTTATCATCAATAAGACGAATATGGCTATGATCAGGGTTTGATTTGATCAATTCATAAAGCGTGAACCTATTCCCGATAAAAGTCTTTTAATCATGTCTTATTGTTATAAACAGCTTTAAACAGACTACAAATAGCGCAAAACAATGCTGCACGTCTTATAACTAAAACACGAAAATTTGATCATATATCAGCTAAGTTACAGAAACTTCATTGGCTTCCAGTTAGAGCGAGGGTTCAATTTAAAGCTCTTGTGAATGTGTTTAAATCAATTTATTCTGACACCGCACCCAGTTATTTATAAGAACTCTTTGATTTCTATACTCCCCGGCGATCCAACCTTCGTTCTTCAAGTGATCGTAGCATATTGAGGATCCCCAAATATAATAAGCGTTCTGGTGAATATGCTTTCTCCGTCAGAGCAGCTAAAATGTGGAATGATCTTTCAAAAACTCTTCGAGAGTCCTCTTTCATCCAGAGCTTTAAGACTAACTTAAAAACATACTTATTTCAAAAATGTTTTTGAACTGTTTTGTTGTGAATGCGCTTAGAAATACTCATGTGTAATGAAGCGCTATATAAATCGAACAATAATAATAATAATGGAAAATACGGGTCTGAAAAACTAATCTAATCCCATGTTATACTTCATAATTTTGAGTTATGTTGTACATGAAAGCCCAACACCGATGGTTACCCCCATGATCCTAGTGAGAGATTGAAATCGTCACGCATACACTTAGCTATAATTTAACTATTTATTTAATTGCCTCAGTCTATCTTTACAGGGGGTTTACTGTATTTATTGTAATTGGTTTATATTGGTTTATAGTCAGTCAGATGTCCGTTGGTTACAATGGGTTCAAGAACAATTTCGCAACATGGCCGGAAATGACACAGAAATAAGCTACAAGAAATTCAAAGCCGCTCTAAAAGTTAAAGAAGTAAGTGATCAGTTACAATATTGAGTTGTGATTTTAGGATTGGGTAGAAGTGGTAAGAAATATTCATGTATGATCTAAGGTTCTATAATATATAAACTACCCGATATATCTAAGTTACCAGACAGACATATTGTTGAGTGAATTTCGTATGGTAATACACGAACTCCTGCTCAACACCATATGCCGCCATATCATCAAATCTTGTGGTTGGCGGACTAGCCATATTTTTGAGTGATAAGCAATTTCACATTTTCAATTAAAATCAGGCTTCAAGTTTGAAAGACGACCTAAGTAAACTCTGGGCAGTCTGTCTTTAATAGGGCAAATTTCTCGAAACATTAAAGGTGACCCTTTTAAACTCACCACGAAAATAAATATAATTAATTTGGAATAAGATCATATTATTTAAAATGTCATTAGATTGTCCTAATTAACGAACATTCCAGCTGCAGGCCATTTTGTAAGCCATTTTGCGCAAACTTTCACTTAACGGCTTCAAAACCACTTGAAACTTTCTACTTCTATATAGCACACAATCTAATTTGCACCATGCAACTCTACAGATCGCGTCACACCCAAAATCATTTTCACAACCAAACAAAATCTCCAAAGCGATAATGGCCAACTAAATTTAAAGTAATTAAGTCTCTAACTCAATATCATCCAAAATCTTCAACATCGAAAACACAAATTATTTGTCAATTTCAATCAACATTGATGTTGTGATCTTACCGCGAAAAGATGGGTTTCCAATATCCAAGACAAAATAAATAGTTTACCATTGGTACACGAATCGTGTACCATAATGCGTTTCAGCGTCATTCGTAACAAGGGACTCGAAGAATGAGGGTAGACATATTAAACAAGTCATGTCAAGCGGTGACTTCATATTCTTATATGGAGAGCATGCGCAATGAATACTATCAGTGCAGACTCGAATTACCAGACGCGAGAGATTTCTATTCGATTGAGACTTTTGCCATATTTCGCCGAACATAACTGTTTTGAAATTAAAGTAAAAACGGAAACGGCTGAATGTAAATCAGTTTATATACGTTCATATTACATTATTATATGTGTTGTGGCCCAGTTGTGTCAATTTCTAGGTCCGAAATATTAGCGATTTAGTTCCTTTAAAATACGTTAAGTAAATTTTCCTAAGATAAAATCAAAATGTTAGTGCTTCGTCTTTTATTTATATCGTTATATATATTATCTGGATTGACATGGATATTATATATTTCTTTGATATGTATAATGTCTGGGTTAATATATCCGTGCATAATATCTAGGTTTTTATATTGTGAACAGTTGGGTGCAGGGGTTTGGTGATGCCCCGGACCAACCCCTTGAGTGTATGCCCCAAAGACCTGACACTGAGGAATTTGAGAAATAAAGACATTTTAAATTTGTAAAAGCAGATGATATATACCTTTTGTGTAAATGTAACATAGCTTATTGCAAATTTCACAAAAATTGAATTAAAAATTTCACTCTTTCATTGTACAGCCCCCACCCACCCAGTCCGTCACTGGGTGTATCATATTATTTTAGGTATTTTTTTCTCGTTTCTAGTGTGTGCCTCAATTACTAAAACAAGACACAATATTTCAATCTTATTTATAGCTCATATATTTTTAATATACATTTTTGAACAAAACATAATTGATTGAAACCGATCAATATCTTTGGTCATAAGTGATCAATCTCATAAACTATTAGGTTAATGATTTATTACTTTTAATTTATGCCCCGTTATAATAAAACAAATCTTACGTAAAATCACATAATTAGAAAAAAAACATTCATGTAGTGTACATATGCGAATAATGTCTTCTTAACGTAAGTAGATTTTATATTATAAAGACCATGCTTATCTTTGAAATTATCCTTAAACCTGGATTATGCCCTAAAGATACAAAGCTATAAACTATATAGACCAATAGCAAGAATCTTATAATGTAAATAAAAAAATAAACAGTTCTAAACTGTCGAACCAACAAATGTTTCTTCTTCATAACTTCATAACTATGGCTTATTTATTTCTACAGGCTGATCTATATAACTTAGTATTAGATACAGTATCCTATTAATCGCCGGAAGCTCGAACAATTTATCTGATACAATAGAAATAAATTCTTCTCAACAACAGACATGAATTTAAAGGTGTTTTGTCTGACTTAGACTTTAGATAATGACTCTCTGTCAATAAAACCAGTGGGCAATGAATGAACGCTCTTTAAAATGTTTAGAATAAGTCGGGGGGTTGAGCCTCCATACTGACGTACGTGCTATAGTTAATGCAAATGAAAGGTGATTTCGACCCCTTCAAACGAATTGTCTAAACAAATACCTACCGTGTTTCTGAAAACATGCTGACATGTTAGACAAATAATGAAATTAGAAGCCTTAAACCTATTCGTCAGGTTTTTCTTTTCCAGTCTCAATCTTGTTATACTGTGCAATGTAACCAATTTTCTGTGTGGATGCTCACACTATATATAAAGGGCATCATAATGCTATATGAAGACACCAATTATGCAAGCTTGACATTTTTATTGACGGAAACCACTATAACTTAACGGTTAAATTTTACTTTTTCAGTCTTTTTTTGCCGAAAGGTTCTTCGAATTCTTTGACAAAGACGGGGATGGTAATATCAATTTGTTTGAACTAATGGACGGATTACGAATGTTGACGCGTGGTTCTACCACAGATAAGATTAGATTCCTATTTAATATATATGATATAGATGGTAAGTACATATATTTGTTTACAATCCATAAAATATCGTTTTTTGTCCCCCGCCTTTCGAAGAAAGCAGGGGACTATTAAAATGGGTTCGTCCGTCTGTCTGTCTGTCTGTCTGTCTGTCCGTCTGTCTGTCCTTCTGTCTGTCCGTCTGTCTGTCCGTCACACTTTTTGGGACACAATAACTCTCTTCCTAATTGAGCTAGAATGTTCAAACTTGGTGTATGTGTTTATTAGGTCAATGCCTTGATGGAGTTCGAAGATGAGCATTTTCCGCTTAGGGTAAGCAGAGATAAGCAATTTGATTGGTTGATGCTTTGGGACACGATAACTCTCTTCCTAATTGGGCTAGAATGTTCAAACTTGGTGTATGTGTTGATTAGGTCAATGCCTTGATGGAGTTCGAAGATGAGCATTTTCCGCTTAGGGTAAGCAGAGATAAGCAATTTGATTGGTTGATGCTTTGGGACACGATAACTTTTAATTGAGCTAGAATGTTCAAACTTGGTGTATGTGTTTATTAGGTCAATGCCTTGATGGAGTTCGAAGATGAGCATTTTCCGCTTAGGGTAAGCAGAGATAAGCAATTTGATTGGTTGATACTTTGGGGCACGATAACTCTCTTCCTAATTGAGCTAGAATGTTCAAACTTGGTGTATGTGTTGATTAGGTCAATGCCTTGATGGAGTTCGAAGATGAGCATTTTCAGCTTAGGGTAAGCAGAGATAAGCAATTTGATTGGTTGATGCTTTGGGACACGATAACTTTAGTTCTAATTAAGTGAGATTGATGAAACTTGGTGTATAGTTTCATTACAGTAATACCTTGACTAAGTTTGATAATGAGCATTTTCTGCTCAGGGTAAGCAGAGCGATACGCAATTTGATTGGTCGAGACTTTGGAAAACAATAACTCTCCTACTTTGATTGTCCCCCGCCTTTCGAAGACAGCAGGGAACTATTAAAATTGGTTCGTCCGTCTGTCTGTTTGTCTGTCTGTCCGTTCCCCTTATGGTAAGCAGAGATAAACCATTTGATTGGTTGATCTTCGAATTGAGTAAATGTTCATGCTTATTGTCCCCCGCCTTTCGAAGAAAGCAGGGAACTATTAAAATGGGTTCGTCCGTCTGTCTGTTTGTCTGTCCGTTCCGCTTAGGGTAAGCAGAGATAAACAATTTGATTGGTTGATGCTTTGGGACACTATAACTTTAGTTCTAATTAAGTGAGAGTGATGAAACTTGGTGTATAGTTTCATTACAGTAATACCTTGACTAAGATCGATAATGAGCATTTTCTGCTCAGATTAAGCAGAGCGATAAGCAATTTGATTTGCTGAGACTTTGGAACACAATAACTCTCTAATTATTTTCCTATTTCGGCGGGGGACATCAGCCTCACTGTTGGCTTGTTTAACTTCATGTTGATGTTTAAAACCCAAAATTAAAAAAAGGATTCATTACAGTGGTTTATATTGCTCTGGCACCATCATCATTTAATGCAAACTTGAAAACTTAGTTTTGAATTTCGTAACTTTTCAGGTAATGGTCATATTGATATTGATGAACTTAAAACAGTCCTGGAGTCATGTGTCCAGGAGAGTTCGATTAAAATGAGTGACTTTGACATCGATCGTCTGACTGAAGTATTATTTGATTCTGCGGATACTGATGGAACCGGCCAGATTACTTTTGAGAAACTTGAAGCTGTTCTCACCCAGCATCCAGAAGTTCTAGAAAATTTAACTATCAGGTAATAGAAAAGTTATTTTTCGAAGCGTGTTCCTGTAAAAAAAAATGGCATGGAAAATTACCATCAGGTAATAGGAAAATTTTCTTGAACTGTATATAATTCGTAAGAATGGCGTACATTTAGAAGGCGATCTCGTTTACACATCACCATATTAAGGCACAACTCCCTTTAAATAGTGTTTCCTGTTGCTTTGGTTCACTTGTAATTAAGTTCTCATAAAAGCCGACCAATTTTACATTTTACCTTATGACCTGTTTTCTATCCATTCTACAGTGCAGCACAATGGTTGAAACCAGGTGACACAGCAGCCAAGGAAAAACGTGAACTGCCTAGATATTTGCAAGGAAAATACATAAGAAACAATTTAAAGAAAATCATTTTTTACATTATATATTTCTTGGCAAATATTGGACTATATGCCTACGGTGCTTATAACTACAGAAATTCAAACACTGCTATCATCATTGCCCGTGGTAGCGGAATGTGTCTCAATTTTAACTGTATGTTTATATTAGTGCTAATGCTCAGAAAGTGTATCACGTGGTTACGGAGCTGGCAGTGGGCGTACTGTATTCTTCCCTTGGACCAACATATTCTCTTCCATAAAACTGTTGGAATAATGATAGCTGTTCACAGTGCTATACATACATTCGGTCACATTGGGAATGCAGGTACGTAAACCTTTGTTTTTACTGTTTACTATAGACGCAAACAAAGTGTACATATAACACACGATGCAGTTATATGAAACACAAGTTACTTAAAGATCATATGGCTTTAATCTTTTGAACCTTAAAATAAACGAAAGTTGGTCTAAAAGCACATAATATTATCATTAATGTAATACGATTGTATTTAAAGTGATTTATATTCATATTTATATTTAAAATAGACGCTAAAATCTTGGTTCATAGTGGATCAATTTGACTGAAATTTTCATCAAATTCCCTTTACATTATCTAGTTTTTAACTATTATAGTGAGAACTGCCAGCTCTTTATCTAATCTCCCATAATGTATCTTTAAGTTTAAGTAACTTGTATTTCATACAATTGTGTCATGTTTTATTATCATTCAGTTACTAAATGCCGCTTAAACCATTAACGTGTAAATATATTTTAGACTCCATAGAGACCACCCGTTTGTCTAATTTGCAGTTTTATATTCCCCTTTTGTACTCTGTATTAAATAATTCAACTGGGACGATAAGCTTTCATCATGCTTAACTGTATCCAGTGGTTTATATTCAATACACCTCTTCGGCGTCTCGTTTTTTCATTCAAGTGCAGAACAATCGTTACAAATTTTCGTCCCACTGCTATCACACCTTATGCTACAGAATTTTTATCTCAAATATTTATCGTCCTATGAACTTTGAACTTTGATTTACCTCAAAATAACATGTTGAATTGGGTTAATCTGATGTGTTATTTCGTTATTTTTTAGTAATAGAAATGAAATGAAATAAAATGTGGTTTAATTTCCCACTGTTCTCCTCCGACTTGGCAATGAAGGCAGGTTTTAGTTATAGAACAAAACCTAAAAGATTAAATTTTTATTTGGAATTATCATTTCCTCTCGGAACTACATCCTCTCGTGACTCTAATTAAAATTACTTCCTGGCATGACTCTTATTGTTAATAATTTCCTCTCGTGACCCTTATTGTTAATTACTTTCTCCCATGACTTATTGTTAATTATCGAATCTCGTGATTCTTATGACTCTTATTGTTAATTATCGCCTTTCGTGACTCTTATATAAGACTCTTATTGTTAATCCCTTCCTACCATGACTCTTATTGTTAATCCCTTCCTCTCATGGCTTAATAATTATTAATTAAAAATTTCTTATACAGTGATTGTGGGGCAGAGTGACGCTGGGTTAACGGCTGTTGATGTGATATTTACAACTAAAGCTGGATTGGGCTGGGTTGCCGGTACTGCACCTTTAACTGGTGTTGTATTAGTGGTTATTTTAGTAGTAATGGTTATATGTTCCATGTCCTTTGTCAGAAGAAGTGGGCATTTTGAGGTAAATATTCAGTACAATTTTGCATAGAATAAAAAAAAATAACCAATCCCTCAATGGAAAATAAACTAAAACAAGACAGCAACTGATATTAGTCCATAATTTTAGAAGCAAGATATCATTAAGACCCCGATGCATTTAATTTATCGTTCATAGTTCATCGAGAGTGGAGTCGAGTCATATCCTCGGATTTTAAATGTGTCTAATAATGCATGTCGATGTTTATATCAGTGCAGTTTTACATCGTTTTATTTAGTTTATTAATTGATGTATTGTAATCAGTGCTCTGTAATAATTATTCATGTCTCACCTGATATTATTCCTCGATCACCCACCTTGCAAGTAATTGGACCAATTGTTAACTTAAATAGCGTGGGATGTTTTGTTGTCCAAGGGTAAATGATACTACACTGTCCTTCTAAATATCGACTCTACGACTACGTTAAATGCGTAGAAGAAAAATAAAGGTACCTATTAATAAATAATTATCAATGATTCGTCATCTTTACTATTGTGTGGTGATTATCTAAAGAATAAAAAAAATATATGTGAAAAAAGAGTTATCAATGATCCGTCATCTGTAGAGTCATGAAGAACATCAAAAGAATAATAACACGATTATTAGCCGGATGTTGTAGCATACTATTAGTGTCTCATGGATTTGTTTTGTATTTCATATTTGATTATATCTAAACACTTGAAATGATTAACAACTATAATTGAACTTCTTGATAACGGTAGGTGACAACATAAAACACAAACGTCACTGTTTTATCTCGACTACACGATTTGCGTGATCGCTCCTTGTTCCGGGTGATGGTGGTGATTTGTTGATATCCTACGAAGAAATTTAGATTTCCCAGCTAAAGTGCATCCTTGTTATTGGCACGGGTGGTTCTATGGCCGAATATTTACCCCGTCGTTTTTCGTGTTTTTGTATGTAAATATTGAACGGCTGATCATGATATGTCATACCTGTGGTTAAAAAAATTAAGTTACCACAGTGAAAATATTTCCGTTGGCCGACATAGTTATTGATTCATTTGATTAGATCTCTGGGAAGCCGAAATGGTCTGTTAATTTTATAACCAAATAAGAATGTATGTAAATAAGATCACCGCGTGAACTGTGGTCGGTGTTACTATTTTTAAAGTTATAAAATTTAATATTACTCAGTGACGCTTTTGATCAAACGTTTTAACTGGCGTTTAAATTATGCAAGAGCTAAACCTGCCTATTGCAGGTCTTTCTTTGGGCCTAAAATGTTATCTACATTATTAATTGGAAATTAATTAACTTATCCAGACCATAATCAACTCTTGATACCATCGTTAGCCTGTGATATTTATTGGATTTGAACACATTTTGTCATGGATAATTTAACGTATAATTGAATAATCGAGACTTTGTTATAACAACATCAGTACTGACGAGTGAGACTAGCCTAAAATTCAATGGCTAATATCTCGGCTCAGAGTGAAGCAATTTGACTGAAAGTTTCAGCATATTTTGTTTTCGTTATCTATTTTTTGACTATTATAGCGATAACTCTCAGCTATTTATCTAACCTTATCTGATGCTCCTTTAATATACATGTACATTCATTCGAAAGTAGTTCAAATTGAAGAAAAGGATGACCTCACATCATGATTCAAGTTGGAATTTTATTTCAATGCCTAACATTGTCTCATGATGGTGGACACTTTTGGTATTGTGGTACAATCATTTTATACACATAGAAAATCCCTTTACTTTTGTACATACATTTAAAAATGTCAAAATATAATTTCTAATCGAGGTTCACTCTGATTTAAATTATTTCGTTTCGTTTTTTTTATATACTTTCGATGGCCTACACTACATGAAGATCTGACCGTTTGTAGTAGAAGGTCACGTTAGGGGTCGTACGAGGGGCTTTTGACCATATGACGTCGGACATTGATTAATCAATCAGAGTTGACGTTTCTAGTGTTTTACCCACCGTTCCGTGCATCAAAAGGCCAAGAACTCGCCGTAACAGACCGTTTCATTGGCTAACCCATCACATCATCCAGGACACGTCAATGATAACAACTCTCCCAGATCCTAGTGCACACCGTGTGTAGTAAAGACAAGTAAAACGAAATTTTGAACTATAAAAACGAAACGAAATAGGATCTGTGTTTTAATCAAATTGATCGGGGTTAAGCACAAATAGGACTCGATATGTGGTTCAAAAGTTTGAAGTAACAAAAAAGTACAACAGCGGCTGTCGTGAATTAAAGTCCAAAGCAGTTAAAGATACAAGCCTCGGGCGAAAATTTGCCTGCCGTGAAGGGATTGTGCCGTTTACCCTCGAAATGAACCCGTTCTCTCTTGAGGGCAAGTGTCTGTGTCGAGTGCAGACACATATCATGACAATATAACATTGTAGACTGTATACGATTAGACATTCACATAAAAACATGGACTGGATAACGAAACACTTAAGGGGAAAATCTATAAAATGAATCGGAATATGAGTGAGATGTGGCACGATAAATTCGATCTTGGGTGAAAGAAATATCTAAATACCAACGTCTACCTTCACCGAGGTGACAGTGTGATAAAGGGACATAACTCTTGTATTCATGTTGCTTTTAAACTCTATTTACAGATATTTTATTATACTCATATGTTATACATACCATTCTGGATACTGACAATCATCCATGCCGGCGATTTCTGGAAATGGTTTATAGTTCCTGGCATTATCTTCTTTTTTGAGAGTATTTTACGATCCAAGCCAATGAAATTAGCAACCCACGGAAGAACTTTCATCAAAGAAGTCAATCTGTTACCGTCAGGGGTAAGATACATTTTATATATTTGTGTATATTGTATACTTTTACGGTCTTGTATAGTTAAAATTCTATATTATATAATATTATAACTATGCATATATGTTGTATACTAAACCAATGTTGTTATGCCGAAAAACTTGCTACATCCTTCCATGCTGTTAAATTGTTCCTAAAAAAATATATTTTTCCAGACCATAAGCTTTTGAGTTGGTACATAAAACATAACGAAGTCGTTAATTCGTCGTCGAAATTCAATGCCAATAGTCTTGTGTTGATTTCTGATTAAAATTAAAACGCCCTTCTGTTTGAATGGATTGGTATTAATTACAACATCACAAACTAATTAACTTGACAAAAGAAAGCTAATCAGTAATAATTCGACTCTGATCGTCTTGTCATAACAAACGTCTACATCACAGCCCTCAGATGTCGGACACAGATTGTCACCTTGACAACTCCTTGGGGGCTTCATAAAACAATTCAACAGCAGTCGATGTTACTCGAGAGGATATTATTGATTGAAAATCCTTTGGTATAAAATAAAGAGTTAACACAGTCTTCTATCGGAGTTTCGCCTCATAAGCAGGTCATAGACGTATACACCAGTATAGAAAGATTCAAAAAATTGTATTAATAAGTATATGTACAAGAATTCTGAAAAGTTGGACAACTTAGGAAACACTACATAGACTAAAAAAACGACCAACTCCAACTCCACTGAATTGACCCCAGGATATCGAAAGGACATCTTTTCTCAACACCTTTAAAACTGATGAATAACACAAAATAAAATATAACTAAAATTCACCTTATTTTATGTATGTTTTCAGGTCACTCATCTAGTAATATCTCGTCCAGCTAATTTTGATTTTAAACCTGGCGATTATCTGTTTATACAGATACCAGTTCTAGCTAAATCCGAATGGCACCCATTTACCATAAGTAGTGCTCCAGAAATGGATGGTAAGTAAAGAATATCAAAAGATACAGTCTGGAAATGCCAGACTTTTGTCCTTGCAAAATTGGTTTATATTGTCTAATGTAAGTGTTGGGTATGTATTTTATACATATATATCGTAGGAATTCTGAAGAATTACATGACATTTTCGTTATACACAATCTGATTATTTATAGTTCTAAATTTCGTTTTACTAGCCTTAACTACACTAGGATCTGGAAGGGCTAGATCTATTTTTAAGGCTAACTCAATATTTCGTCAAGGTCGCTGAGATGTAAATAAGGTTAGGGCATGTGATTTTGTTGGCGAAATTGTAGGTTAGTGCTAGGCCCAGGGTTAGGGTTGGAATTTGCGCTAGCCTTGTGTACCATGACTTTTGACTAAACTTGAAGTTGGTCTTAAGAAATAGATCTGGCCATCTGGAAGGGTTGTTATATAACCCGCGTTCTAGTTAATGTGAGGGATTATCCAATGAAACGGTCTGTTAAGGCGAGTTCTTGGCATGCGGTGCATGGAACTGTGGGTATCCCACTAGAAACATCAACTGTCCGACGTCGTAGGGTCAAACTCCGCTCGTATGACCCCTGACACATTCTACTATAACCGGTCAGATCTTCATGTAGTGAAGGCCATCGAAAGGATAAAAAAACGAAACGAAATATAGATATGTATTTTAATCAGATTGCTTTATACATAATAATTATTTTAAGAAAACCTCAAAATAATTGCAACCACCCTTTGAAGTTCGGTAAACATAGTCTTATTTCTTTTTCGTTTAGGTTTTTTGTGGTTACATATTAGATCTGCTGGTCACTGGACGAAATCTTTATATGAATATATGGAAAAATATGGAACAGATGTCTCGAATAGACGATCTATTAAGGGTACAATTAACAAAGGTATGAATATATTCACGGGCGATGTTTGTAGTAGGTGTCGGATAAGCGAGTGCTTGAAAACGTTGCATGGAACTGGAGTGGTTTGCATATACCAAATTGGAATGGAAGAATGTATTGCTATACTAACGCTGCGTTTGATGTCGTGTTTACGATAACTACGAGTTTTGGACGGGAAAGTATCGCCAGGTATCAGGTTACTAGCTATACTTATACTCCAAAGTTTAACGTTATACTCGACTTTGCAAGAAGCAAATATGACTGGTAATATGATTTAATCAATATTTTCAAGTCCAAAATTCGTAATTACCGTAATCACGACATGACCCGCAGCATAACCATTGGTGGGGGACTACCTTGTATATTTAATCATTATGGTTTCCCTGCAATGTAAGAGTACAATTTGGTCAGGCAGCACAGAAAGTTCTCATACTCTTCGAATTCCAACTGTCCAAAGATATTCGGGGTATTAGCCCTTTCCTTTTCAACATATTATATAGACGCTTATTTGTAACTAGCATAATATTATATATTTTAAGCTTTCCACGACGGTCTCGATAAAATAGAGAAGGGAATAAAAGAAGGTTCAGTTAACAGGCGATCGGTAAGTAATGATATTTTATATATGAATGTATGAATATATGAGTTATAAAAGTTTGCCATGTTAATAGATAAAAGGCATGACCTTTGATGTTATGTCTCTGACATACTTGATCGATCGAAATGAGTCTTAAGTCTCATTCAAATTTAAAATATGCAGAAACGTCACCGGTTGTGGGCCGTGTGTGGGTCTGGACTTCTTATATGACAGAGAATATGTGTCTAGTCTATCGGATAGTGGAAAACGGACGTCACATAAACAAATTAGTTGTGCACGTAAGATTTCCCTTGACAACTGGAGTTTAAAGAAGAGCAGAGCAAAATGTTTCTTCACCGCTGCACACAAAATAGCCATAGAAATATCTTGTTTTAGTCTCAGAAATGACCCAAGTAAAATATCCAACCGATTAGATTTTATTACATACTTCGAGAAGGTATTTGTTGAGTAATAAAACCTTCTAGTAGTTTATCGAGGGCTGGCCGTCCTTACCGCACGGTACAAATAAAACCTTCTAGTAGTTTATCGAGGTTCGGGTGCTTCCGAAGTCCAAAATGGCCGCTTTATATAAATGCGAATTTTGGGGATAACTAACCCGAACCCTAACCCTTACCCTTTTTAAAAGACTGAACTTGGGTCTAATTTAGTTTTTACTTCTCTTAAAAGGGTTAGGGTTCTGGTTAGTATTCCCCTAAATACTCATTTGTATAAAGCGGCCATTTTGGTATGAGTTCTGGCTTGTTCTGGAATTTGTTGCTTCTAGTGGTGATAATATTTGTACCGTGCGGTAAGGACGGACAGCCCTCGATAAACTACTAGAAGGTTTTATTACTCAACAAATACCTTCTCGAAGTATGTAATAAAATCTAATCGGGTGAAATATCGAGAAGACTTTTAAATCACATTAAATGTTTGTTCTCGCTTTTCACAGACAAAACACAATAGAAGAAGTACTGTACGAAGAAAGAAAGACACGAGCAAGAAAGTTCACATTGAGGTATTTATTCTTTTTAATTTTACAATAATTCATAATTACTGCTTCTGGTCAAAGATGAATTAAGATACTGGAAATGATTCTCACTGAGTCACTTTAGACTACGAGTATTTAAGTAGTAACGGGTGTTCTAGAAAGAGTAAGCAGAATTTGCTGGTGCATATAGCCTTCATAATCTCATAACAAGGGATAAGTTTAGTTAATCCAGCAACCTTAGTGCATCAGTTCATGTCAAGACCTGGTAAAGTGTCGATCATTGTTTTAAATTAACCATCAACCCGTTTCTCCATTTTTCACGGTGCGACATCGTAAGCCCACTAACAATTTCCCGGATGTATATAAAATAACAATTTGTGATTGGTCATTTATTTTATTGAAAATATGTATTGAATCTAATAAGATGTGCCGCTGAATTAAGGAATAAGCTAACTGGATAACAAAATCAATTTGTCTAGGGTTTTTATCACCCAGAATAGACGACGTTTAATACGGACGACTAATCTTGGCTATTCTGTAAGTTGTGATATTTGATGGGTATTGATAATGTCTAATTCAAAAACCAGCCATAATAGGTCCTTGGGGGTGGTAGTTTCTTATAATTAAGTAGTTATTATTGATTTTGACGTCTAGACTGCGGTAGAAGATGCAAATGACATAATTACTGCAGCCGGCATACGATTCGTTTGATAATGAGTTTTCCTTTAAAACTATAAATCAAATGAACTAAATACTGAATGCATTTTTTTTGTTGAAAAATTGTATCGTTTAAGAAACTTGCCCTTTGCCTTTCGTGTGAAACAGCTAATACAAGTTCTCGCTATCGTTCATTCTTTGGGTGATATCACAGAAAAGTGATCTCGCTATGTTTGGCCCACTCTTCGAGATAAATTGTACCCTTGTTTTCCAGTTCGGGTCCAATAAATCTTATCACACACAGTTACCGCATGCGTTTTCGTTTATTCACCAAGTGTTATTTGGTCCTGGTGCTGGATTTGCTGCAACCATTTTAATACAGTGGTAATGCAACTTACTTTATGAAACATATCTGACGTATGTTCGCTTTGAGAATCAATGTCTTTGGACCCCAGTGTGCGTCATATCACCTCGTGGATATTCTCTGGGTCCTCCGATTGCCTCCCACTGATAAATTATTGAAATGATAATTGCACCATCTGTTAGTCTCGAAATGACCTAGTTTGTGACGAGTGAACGTTAAATCCCATTTCTCGCTCTCGCTCTGTGCCATATTTTAACGTAAAATACAGATTCTTTTATATTTATCTTTATTAGGTTTATCTTGATGGCCCATATGGCACAAGTACGAGAGAAATATTCCAGACAGAACATGCTGTATTAATTGGTGCCGGTATAGGAATAACCCCGTTTGCATCCATTCTACAGAGTATTATCTACAGATTTAACTCCATGGAAAGAACCTGTCCATCATGTAAACATTTATTTACAGAACCAGCTGCAGGCAGTATGATGAAACTTAAAAAGGTGAGCAATTTCAACTAAATTAAAACCCCATTTCAAATCTAAAATGAAAGTCGTAATAATAATAATATTAACGGGACTTTAAAGGTCACCGTAAAAGCTTCATAAATTTTTCAAATACAAGTAATTGTGTCAATATATCCTTTCTATAAGTATAACCCGAACCCGAATGTCAGTATTACCTGCAACAGGTAAATTTCAAATTACCGCTGTTCTCCGTGAGTAGTCGTAACCTTCCGTCAATAAACATGCTCATAGAAATATAAACTGAATAATGAGCAGAAGTACTAAAATGACGTCACAGATTGTTTATTGACGGAAAGTTACGACTACCCACGAAGAACGGCGAAAATTACTAAAGTTGAAATTTACCTGTTGCAGGTAATATTGACATTCGGGTTCGTGTTATACTTATTTATAAACCTATAAGGGTAAATCTCTTTGATCTTTGGGGTATATTCTATGCCCGAAGTAACTTGCAGTCTGAAAGTCGGGGCGGCTTTGGATATATACACTTAAAGGACATAATTACTTGCATTTAATTTGAAAAATTTATGAAGCTTTTCCGGTGACCTTATGTTGTATAAAACGTTAAATACAAAGTATTTGGGCCTTGTGTTAGGGGAGATAACCCACAAAATGAATTTGTTTACTATCAAAAGAAGGTGCGACGTCCCTGATAACATTGTATTGGTCAAAAATGATAATCTATTTGCAGCGAATTTAACATAATATATGTCCGATCCTCACATTAGAATTATTAAACAAAGGCCTCGTGGGCTTAAGTTCTATTAAAAAAAACATAGATTTTGTTTACGGCATGAATTATTGTAGGCTACATAATTGATTTGAAATTCAACTTTTCGAAACTTGTGTCCTATTTGATTTAATCAAATTCTTTATGCTATCACCGAATGTCTTCATCATTATAATCTTTGAGGTTTCTTCTTGGTAATAGCAGGCTACATGTATTATATTATTCCATCTTATCATTTGCAGGTTGACTTTGTCTGGATCAATCGAGATCAGAAATCCTTTGAGTGGTTTACCAGTCTCTTGACACAGTTGGAACTGGAACAAGTTAAGCAAGGCGGCCGTCTTGATACAATTCTAGATTTACACATGTACATGACAGCCGCTGTTCAGAAAGCTGACATGAAGGGCATAGGTCTTCAAGTGGCGCTAGATTTAATTCACGAGAAAGAACAACGAGATTTATTAACCGGTTTACGAACCAGAACCAAACCAGGACGACCAGATTTTAATGAGGTATGTCAATTGTGCATTAGCTTGGTCATCATGAAATTCGTGCATGTGTCACCATTTTCTGATTATGATACTAGTTACACATTGTTTGTTATAATTATATGAATATCATCAATTCCTTAATAAAACAACGTTGTTTCCATGTATGTCAGTGTTGGTAATAATGGAGTAAGATTTACTTCGTGCCAGTCTCAATCACACCTGATCGTCATTTCCATTGTAACGACCTTTCAAACAACCTTTCTATATAATTTGTTTTTCAGCTATTTAAATCTATAGCCAGTAAAAAACATGGAAAGGTCAAAGTTTACTTTTGTGGTGCTCCAGTTGTTGGTAAAACTATTAAAGAATATTGTGAAAAGTTCAAATTTGGATTTCGAAAAGAAAATTTCTAAAATGAATGTTATGCATCTAAATACTGTGATTTATATATTGTTATGTCCAAACCAGTTATTGTTTAGATTTGTTTTGTTGTTATGAAATGTTAAATATGTAAATAAGTTATTTTTTTAAAATAAGTAAACAATTATCTTTTACCGAGCTTTTAAAACGAATGCTCATGTCATTCTTTACTTTATTTATATACGAGAAGCTAAGATAGTTTGACTGAGATTACTGATGCATAATACATAATGATAGTGATTGTCTTTAAATACTATGTTTTTTATGTTCATTTTTGTATCTTTTATATATGCCTTTAAGAAGACAATACATGGCCCTGTCAATACTTGTTTCGTTATACAGTGAACATTTTTAAATATTAACACATTTCATTTGCAATTTTTTTTTCTTCTCATATACATGTACGTATTTGAAATATTTAAAGATAATTTTGATAGGTGATATTTTTATGATATGTACTGTAAATAGTTATATTATGTATATAAGTTATGTAAATAATGTGGATAGCCATGATTTTTGTTGTATATAAAGTTTCTTAAATAAACAGACGGTGTATATCCCTCGATCTTCTATTTGAAATTATATCGACGACTTTTAAAAAAAACCGTTTAGTTGCTTTTTTAATCATATTTTTTTCATAATAAAAATTATTTTAATACGATATTATGTTGTTTTTGTTTAGTGTATGACTATTCAGCATTTAGAGAATACAAGTTACTAATTCATGACATACCCTCGACATACAAAATGCCAATGGACTAACATGGTAATAAAATTTAATTTAAAAAATTCGCAGTAGCGTATGGTGTTTAGTAGCAGTAGATTTATAGTCAACAATTTTTCTTGTGGACGAAATGGGATTTGAGCCACTCTGTTGTATAAAACTGTGAACATTATAACTTATTTTCATAAAACTTGTTACTGAAAAGTCTACTGTTGTGTTGCTTAAAGATACTTTCCCACAAAAGTATTTATCGGGTGGTTATTCAAATAACAGTATGGCAATTTCTTTTATATATATGGAAAGTAGAGACACCCAATCTTTCTAGAAAAAACACCCATGAAGCACGCACATGACAAAAACGAGATGGTGTCGGCTCGAGTGACGTCATAGGTTGCACGCGTAGTTTGTCAGAGCTCTTGGCGTTAGGGAGTGCTTGATGTATATGTTGATAAACTAGGTGATGAGTGGACGTGGAAAAAGAGAGAGACCTAAACGTGCAACAGTCTCCGAGATACAAAACACGGAAAGGGCGTGAGCAGGGGACAATTCGATGATTTACTTAGGAAGGAAATGAAATGAAATCGGGTTTAACGTCCTACTGTTCTGCTCCTATGCTGGGCTAATGAAGACGGGCATACGTCATACAGTGTTCTATGAGGGAAATTTTGCCCGGGCAGCGGCACTATCACCTACTCTTATATCGAATTCCAACTGCCAAGGGATCTTTTACGTGCATTCCAATGTATACACGGGACCTCGGTTTTTCGTCTCATCCGAAGGATTAGACAGCTGCCTTGTCAGCCCACCGTCCTGCATCACTGACAAGGGGGGACCACGCCGGAAAATCTGGATGAAATTTCTCGGCCAATGCAGGGATCGAACACCCGACCTCCAGGCTAGTGAGTCAGCGTCTTACACACTTAGCCGCGTGATCCCCGAATTTACTTAGGCTTCGACATTTATGGTAAATGGGCAGCGATTAATGACATCGTCTTTTATATGCAATGAATTATCCCCGGCTTCGTACCCACACTATGTACCGCGACAGCCAAGTCAGGTGACGCAAACATCACTTCTTTTAATAGATTTTCCTCGCGAATACAATGTTTTGAGAGGGGTTTGAAGCAAATTGTTCATAGATTAATTAGTTTCACTAGGTTTTTAAAAATCAACCAATTTGTACGCAGGAGGGTATCTTTAAAATTTCACCGTATTCCATAGATTATTAAAGGAAAGTCTAAAAGAAAACAAAAAATGAATGGATTCATTAATTTACCAATCGTGAAAAACAGCAAAGGGACGGGCCGTTGGATGATAGTTTTGAATATACTGGATACAATACAGTGTTTATGTATTAATTCCAGACTTTTCGGGCAAACGGATAAAGTGAAATTACTGAAATCAAAAATTTATATTTCACCTTGTTGGTAAAATAAAGTGCCAAAAATCTTATAAAACATTAATTTTACCTTTCTTTTAATTGGATACCATACGGATTTGTACTGAATTGATTATGGATTAAAAAGCTTTGCCTGGAGCCACTTTTAAGGGTGCCTTTTCGCCATTTCAACGACTAGACAGTGTCCGTCCTGCACGACTGAGAAGGCAAAAATACGCCCGAAAATCCCGAGGAACATTCTTGGTCAATACCGGGAGCGAACCCAATGGCAATGACATACATGTATTCGTTGAAAAGTGTTAAATATTCAGGTTCTAAATATAACAATATATTCACAACTTTATAATTTATACTAACATTTCCCTAAAAAATAAACCATAAATTTGAACATACAAATATATAAACTTTGAAACATAATACAATCAAAGATTCGTGTTTCACCGCAATTCTCTGACCGGGTACTTTTTTGAAACGGACTATAGTCACAATGCACTCGTTTATCAACAGCTCGTATTTATCCATTCAGTAGTTTTGTGTACCGGTCACACATGTTTCAACCTGGATAGTAAGACCAGGACAGCATATCACAGATAGCCGGTAAGACCTTAATTTATATCTGCATTAAACACATTATCGTCATTTTAATTGAAAAAGTAGGCTTAGAAATCTTTAGGTTGTTCCACGCACTAATCACAAACCTAATGTTTATCGAATCACAAACCGACTGGATGTTCGCATAGTCGTCATGATGCAATGTGTTCCAGGCGGTTTAGTCAAATATTTCACGTTTATATGACAATATTAGACTGTTATGTCATAGAGTTACGATTTATTGCATCTTAGCGCACTTTTGTATTAATAACACACAATTATCTGTGTAGGCCTAGGCCTATGTGTTCGTGAACAAAACTGAATGTAGTAGTTCAGTTCATTATTTCATTTAGTCGAAAGTAGTGGCTATGTGAGTTGGCATACAATTATGCCCTCGAGCCTCTTTTCGCCCTCCTCGTCAAATGGAATGCCCGACATTTCGACCAGCGATGATTCGCCCACAGAGGTTGTTGTTAACACCAATCCTAAGCAGAAAGCTTCCATTACCAGCACTCAGCATCTATTTAACCCCAGTGGCCTTAATCATTGTGCCCGAAACGTCGTTCCGCACGTAAACAGAACGAAACATCGACCTACGGGATAGGAACCGGCTCTTTAAATGATTGTTATTATGTGTCAGTTTTAGACAAATTTGCCCCTTTGAATCTTTTACGAAAGTTCCAACGACCCAAGTGCTTAGTGTGGGTTAAATGTATGGAATTTTATTCTGGGCTTTGAATAAAAAGACGTTAGGTATTTTTAGTTGTACTAAAATTTGGGGCCCATGTTGACGCTATCTAACCTTACATCCAACGAATGATCTGAATGACAAAAAAACATCTAAACTATTTAGATATTTGACTAAAGCCACAATTTCATTATTCTAGAAGTGAGAAGCCGGATGTACACCAGATTCTAATGATAACTGTGTACATTGAATTTATTTTTTCTTTAGTACAATCATGTATATCAGTACATGTCTGATTAGAGCTTCAAATGATAGATCTGCAAAAAAAAAAAACAACCCATAAGCTATGTTATGTTCTTATCCGATACGTCTATGTAATTAAAAATGATATGAATATTACTTGTTTCATTTTATGTAAACATACGGTTTCGGAACATCTGTCACACATTAAGTCGTGAAACACAACATCCTGTCATCTCAACAGTATTCTATGATTATTAAATGTATTTTGTTTAAACATGCAACCTTTGGGGAACTAAAAAATGGCAGAATTCCTTTTCGCCAAACTGATCATGGTGAACATGTAATTCATATATCCCATTCATTTGAACTAAACTATCAACCTTCATGAATTTAATTTTTATATTTTACCGTAGTTAGATATTTTCAGATATTATTCAAGAGATTGTATATTTCAAACCTCGGTGACAATATCAAGAACACAGAAAATATATACGCATTGACCTGTCAGCTAATCATGTGACGCAATTTTTACTCAAAATATCTCAAAATGATAACCTCATAAAGAAAGACCAAAATGAACTTTAATGAAAATACTAAATACCCACAATCAAGATCTATAGAAACATTTTAAAACTTAAATATGTGTAATTGTAAATACAAGATTTGTATCCGCAACAATTTAATCCAAACAATTATTAAAAAGTTATGAAAATAAATGTCTCGCTATTTTCTTTTATTATGGTTTAATACAAACACGTGAATAATACTCTCTTTAAAATTAGAACAAGGCTCTTCCAAATAAATGTATTTAAAGTAACCATCTCTCGCAATAATCTCCACATATTTATAAACCCGCAAAACATGGGAGCATCTTCCATAGGAAGCAAGGTGTTCTTTCTTTCAACAATTTTCCAGCTTAAAACGTGTCAAAGCGAATGATAAAAAAGACAAAATTGGCAGACAGTTCGAAAATGATCAGTGACCGTAGTCTTAATAAGTTCACGTTATGTAACCCAAACATGTCAATAGCGACCCTTGGACCCCTTATCCGTTCTCCTAGTCGACATCACCCTTGCGTCAAGAGTGGACAAAGGGAATAACCCAAAGACAGCCAAAAACATGTATTAAGTCCACATACAAATGAAAATTGGTCAAATTATACACACATCTATATGGAAGGGTCGCATAATGATTTTTATGAGCCATCTTTACGTCCTTGGGATTTACATCCCCGGGAACTTGTTACGGGCATCAAATAGATTGCCCAAAATTATGTGCTCTGTTCATACACATCAGAAATGTATGTGACCAAGGATGTCCTAGTATGGATATTCAGTTGAGAACGATCATATTTCGTCATCTTCAGTGACCCATTAAGTACCTTGGAATCAATTAAAAGTCGTAGCATTCTTAGACTACGTGAGAGCCAGGCATTACAGTACAATCAAAGCCAAAAATCTAGGACACATAATGGACCGCTCCATGTCACCAATGCCATAGATTAGTAACCAATATTACTAGCAGGATACCCGGCTTTGCCCGGGGACCTAATTCGAGGGGGCCCCAATTCGCCAGGGAGCCCACATGCGATGGCCTAAGAAAACATTCACGACTCATGCTGGTTAATTTGCAAGGTGGAAACGACCCTTACTATGGAGGTAATGTCTTACATTTATATATATATATAGACAAGCTCGGCTGAATCTACGTTCTTGAATATATACCGGTACCACAATTCTCACCATGCCAACCTACAGCAGACACTATGGCCTCGATGCTATTAATGTCCATGAGTCAATGCCCTGGAACAAGGTTAAAGTCCTACATAAAACTGTATCATCTGTTTCTTTCTATAATAATTCAAAAATAGATGATAAAAAAAAGAAAATGTTGAAAATTTCAGTCAAATTACTTTGTTCTGAACGGAATTGTCACTGTTAGAAGTTTGGACTAGAAATGGGCATCAATTTTGTCTTCTTCGCCGTCTATGAGAATTGGCGATCGTTTGATTGACAAACAATAGCTCCACCCACATATTCTCGATTATCAAGTAACATGCTCAATGGTTTTAGTAGCCTCGCTTGGCAGGCTTTTCATTACCAGTTTCCGGTTGTGACATCAGCGAGTCACCCTGCACGTTTCAAGTCAGTAGCTTGAAGCGTATATATGGTATTAGTGTCAGTGGCTTGTGGCACGAAGTAACAGTATATTGTCGCATACATAATATATTATGTCAACGCTTGGGCGACATAATATATTGTGTTGACGCTCCAAGCGTGTTAGCATATTAGACCTGTAGACTCAGTGGAATGTACGCGTCATCAGAGCGGATCCAGGGGTTGGACCATGGGGACCGGTCCACCCCCTTAACAATAGAAAGTGTCCCTGTAAATAAAAGAGGGCATCCTTATCAGAAAAAGGGCACCTGTGATGTCAGAATTTCAAAAAAGGGCACTTTTCTTTCGGATTAGGGTTAGGGTTAGGGTTAGGGTTAGGACACAGAAAAGAGAGAAAAAACAGAAAAGAAAAAAACAATCGAAACTTACCGATTCCATGATGGAAAATACCGCCAAAATATGTCTCCAAAGCATTCATTGGTTATCAAAGCGCCAATTAAATCTATCGTTGCAAGTTCATGCCTAGTCACCTCCATCCTAGTTCCAAGCGTTGACATAATATATTATATCGCCCAAGCGTTGACATAATATATTATGTATGCGACAATATACTGTTACTTCGTGCCACAGGCCACTGACACTAATACCATATATACGCTTCAAGCTACTGACTTGAAACGTATCGCCTGAGCGAGTAACGGTAAACGTCAGCTTGGTCCGCCATTTATTGATTTAATTTTAAATGGACGAGGCTGTTTAAATCCAAACTGTATCCAAGCCATCCGTGGGTCTACGGAGTTGCTTTTAAGCTTATCGTGTAAATAAAGGTCTAATTAATAATTTCTATAAGATCTGAAGCCTAAATAAAGACTTAAAATAGGCAGATTTAGCTCTTGCATAATGTATGTTTAACATACAGATCTATATTTCATTGCGTTGCGTTTTTTATACTTTCGATGGCCTACACTACATGAAGATCTGACAATTTATAGTGTAAGTTCACGTCAAGGGTCAAACGAGCGGCTTTTGACCCTATGACGTTAGGCATTGATTAACTAATCAGCGTTGACATTTCTAGTGGTTTACCCACAGTTCGGTGCATCAGAAGGGCAAGAACTCACCGCAACAGACCGTTTCATTGGCTAATCCCTCACTTCACCCAGAACACGTCAATGATAACAACTCTTCCAGATCCCAGCGTAGTAAAGACAAGTAAAACGAATTTTGAACTATAAAAACGAAACGAAATAGGATCTGTGTATAAATCAAATTGAAATATCCTTTTTTGTTTTAAAACACACACAAAACACTTTATTATCTGTTACTTATACATTAAAGATACATTATGGGAGATTTTTATAGAGAGTTGGCCATTCTTGCTATAACAGTTCAAAAGTAGATGATGAAAGAAGAATATATTGAAAATTTCAGTCAAATTACTTTATTCTGAACATAGTTATCATCGTTGTAATATTTGACTAGAAATGGTAGTGAAATGTGCTTTCACCTTGGCCGATCGTTTGATTGACAGGCGTTAACTCCACCTACATATCTCGATTATCAAGTAAAGTTTTCAATGGCATGCGGAAACGCTCTACACCGGCCTCGCTAAGTACACTCTATCATTTAGCCTCGATCTAACTGACGTATTCTCATCAGGGTGCGCCATATTTGAATTAATCAATAAGTGAAATCCTATTTAAATCCGAGCTGTAGCCGAGCCATCCGTGGGTCTACAGAGTTGATTTTGGGCTTGTTTAAATAAAGATCTAATTCATAATTTTTATAACATCTAAAGCCTAAATTAAGACTTGCAATAATCAGATTTTGCTCTTGCATAATGTATGTTTAATTTATTCCTGTCCAACCTCATGGGTTGTCTCCGGGTCCTCCGGTTTCTTCCCACTGCTAAAGACCCCTACGCGCAAGCGAATGATTGAAATAAAATTGAACCATGT